TTTGCCGAAAATGGGTTTACCTCCATGCAACAACCTATTGAGTCTGCAAATACAGATAAATGGATTTGTTTGGATGAATGACTGTTATCCGAAATTCATTGTTATTGTTTATGATAAGTTCGCTTAGCTGTTTAAGCCAATAGCAAAGCTCGAGACTTGTAGTGGAGGATTTAAAAAGTCATAGAAAGCATGACTTTATCACATGTTTGGAAGGCTTTTTCTTCCTGCAAACTAACTATAAACGGATTTTTCTGAGCAGAAAAACCGTGGTACTTTACGGTTTTGCGAGCTACTGTAAAAAATCTATCCAAGGAGAGTATTCGACTCCGGATATTAGTTTCTTGCTTTTTGAGCCAATGCTTTTCGTTAGTGTCGTATCGGCATCATGAAAATTGCGCTATTTCAGTGATTTAGAGAAGATTCTCTTTTGATATAAGGTAGTAGCGAAGGTATTCTAGCACAAAATATCGCATTCAATCTTTAAGAAAAGCTGAGGTGTGGGTGAATTGCCTAAATGGATGATAAATAGATGTACGATCATACATACACGATCAAAGAACTGCTCATCGTTTCAATTGCAAAAGCATGCATTTTTTAATCCTAATTAATCCATTGACGACAACGCCACCCACGGGTGGGTAATGCATTTGTAGATACGCGGGACCATGTGACCTGTGTTGGGCTTTTCTGATCGCATATGTCGCGCCATTTTGAACAATCATAGATCTATGATTTATTCAACAGGTTGGACTTTTTATCTTCGCTTTTTCTTGCTTATGCAGAGTTCACGTGCGAGTCACTGTCTCGCCATTTTTGGTTTTTTATCCTCAGAGTGCTCAAATTGTAAGGATCCTAGGCAAAGGAAGTGAAATTACGTGGCAGCTGACCTGGAGATAGATGAATTAACCAGACCATACTGATTAATGTGTTTGATGGATAGCGGAGGATTAGTAGTTTTAGCGGGTTTTGTTTTGATTGCTCTTGCGTTTATGCACGAAAAAAACTTTGAAATCAACTTAAAATACAGTTAATGGTTAGTAAATCATTGCTAAACTAACTCTGTTGAATCCAATCTTATCATTTGATTATATACTTAGATTGGAAACAATGAGAAAGTGGAAAGTAATTCTCATTTTTCTATGGTTGTTCTCATGCAATGGTGTCATATATGACCTTTTGGGCAAACCCATTACATTTTATACTGCAATATATTCTAGTAGTATTTGTACATGTGCGCAAGAATACTATTCCTCAATTCTTGCCAATTACACTCAATTTATCGCCTTCAGACGGTCTTTCTGTGTTCTTCCAAAAAGAAGAAGCCATCAGATAAGGAAGAGCCTCTTATGAAAACAGTGAGTTGGATCAGCTTAATATCTCTATAGAATTGCAATCTTTGATAGGGAGCCGAATTGTGATAGCATTAAGCAATTATTTTTTGAATCAAAGAAAATACTGAATTTCGTCCTTTTTCAGGCAGTTTGGGCTCAAAAAGAAACAGGTGAGATTATCTTGGCAAACGTAAGCAATACATCCAGGCAGAGTTTATGAGAATTCATAGTTTTGCTCGGTATTTTCCAAAGGAAAGGAACGTGCATGACAATGTTGCAACACCCTTTGTTTGATAAATTTCATTTAAAGACACACTGCTCTCTTGCAGCCTTCGGGCAGCAAACGGTAGGCGACAAGTTCGGGAAGTTATTTTGGAGATGGATGCCAAGGCTATATACATCATTCTCATCTTTAGGAGCTAGACAGGGCTGTTTTTAGCTAAAAATTGTAGGCAGGGGAATCAGGGACTCCTGGCAAGAAGTTCTGGAGCAGTTCTATCATTCATCTCTAATTATTTAGCTGTTAAATTTTTTTATTAGTTTGCCTATAGGCCTGACTAGAGCGAGTGAAAAGTTAAATGTCATGCTATCGCTGAGATTGCACTTCTAGGATTACAATACCCACATCGCGCTCATTATGCAATCTAGTCATTATATTTTTGCGAAATTACGAAAAAAATACGCATTGTTGCAGAAACTCTTGATAGTCCAGCAACGAGCTCAGGAGTTGATATCTCTAACCAATCAGTTGGTAAAGAGTACAAAGAGCAGTCTAAAGAGTTGCGTGAAACGAGTGAGGAGGTTGTTGCAAATGTAGGAGAAGGAAGAGATGCACCGAAACGAGTATTTCCAAAGAGGAGAAAGAACCGTAATAAAGATGAAGATAGCGTAAAGACGGAACATACTATTTATGAAAGGCGAAAAAAGGCTCAAAGAGGATCGACAATCATAAATTCCCCCCAAAAAACGCAGTCTTGTATCGATGATTTGGAGAAAGCCGTTGAAGCACCAGAAATAGAAGGGAAACGAAAGAGTTTATTTGATTCTGTTCGAGAATGGTTTGAAGAACAGTGTACTCAACGTCAGAACGGAGAAGCTCTGAATACGCAATCAAGTTCAAGTTTTAAAAAATCGAAGAGCAAAGCATTGTTCTCTTGTGAAGGAGGACCATCCGCCAAACATAAGCTACTTTCGGAGAAGACAGCTCGCTCACCAAGTGCATCAATTATCATCAATAAAGAATCATTAGAGGTGAAGTACTGAAATGAATTGTTGCTAACCTTTCCTAAAGCTCTAAGCTATGAGTTTTCTGCGCTGTCCTTTTACCTTTCAAACCTTTTGATCTTAGGTCAATGTTTGTGCAGGACCAAATGATAGTGATTCCGTGCCGGAGCCAGCAAGTAATCAAAAAGCTTAAATCATATTAAAAAGGATAAAGCATAAGTTTGTGAGTAAGCAGTTATAATTCTTATATGGAACATTGCTAAGAACGGGTTCTAGTTCAAGTGTATTGTCTCAAAACTGTAAAATGTAATATCATCATAAACACACCTTTTAAAAAAGAATTTTTCAGCCAACAAGAAAAGGAAAGGTGTTGTCCATTCTACGCTTTGCATATTGCATGCAAGTCAATGTGAAACTATAATTTATAACAGATTTGAATAAAATTTATAAAATATTGATTATACTTCGTGAAGAGAAATGTCTAAAGGTAGCCGAGATGAAACACGTGTAGTGCTACGCTCAAATCACCATTTTTGGCATAAATTTCCTATCCATGATAATCGCATTCTATCCCCAAGATGCAGAATGTATGACAAAGTTATCTTCATATTAATCAACTATCTCAGATGTTTTACCCTCGGCTAAGTGTCTAGACCAAGACTGTCAATTAACTTCGGCTGAGATCCTGCTTGTGTTCTTCTTTTCTCTTCAACTTTTGTCTGGGATCGTTTTCGGTTATCGAGTATTTCGGTTATCGACGGAAAATTGAATTAGTTTTTGAATTCAACGCGGGAATAAAAAAGAATAGAATTATAATGTATCAAAATTTGCTTTAGAATAAGAACAAATTTCTAGGACCTAATTTTAGAAAGACCACGATCTTCAAAATATAAATCATATGCCATGCCTACTATGGCTATTACGCTTAATCACGGGCCATACAGCGTTTTTAGAAGGGAGTTTTCTTTCACAGAATCCACTGTAAGACAAGCGAAAGCCTGTCTGGCTGGAAAAATGGCAAAAACATCTTGGTAAGTCGTCGGCAACGTAAAGACCGCATTGCAGACCTTTCTAAATACCCAATATTAACTACCGTTTTTTCTTTGTACATTCGTTTATGATGCTCTTGTAATAAATCCTACAAATAGATCACATTTTCGAGAAAACTTGCAAGAAATAACCCTCAAATCTTTTCCTATTCTGGAAGGTACCACATTCCAGTGTTGAGAATACTGAAAGGCTTTTCGCTGAGTACAGTACAACAGTATCCTATCCAGCTATCTACCATCCAACGAATGGCCCACGCGTTTGTCGTTCTATCAAATAAAACATTATCTATATGCGACAACTGGCTTTCCAAGAATTTTCGTCTGTTGAAATTTTTCTTCACTTCACATGTATCCGTGCACGCGTATTTTTAAGACGTATTGGTGGCTCAGCGGAACTGACTACAAAAACGTGATCACTTGTTGGATTAAGCAAAGCTTGAACTTCCCCGGCTAGTTAAGCTATTGACAACGTCTTAATTTAAAATCATAACATGAGGTTAATCTACTGTTTTGATTGTGTACAAAACAAAGAGCCGAATCATAGGTTAAATTGGCAACTCAGGAACTTTTTTGCACCCTCCTTTTTCTCCCATTGTGAAAATTTGAAGGCGAATAGCTGTGTTTGTCAATTTCAAAATGTCATCACTGCGGTCTACTTAAAGAGTACGCTGATCAAAAAAAAAGTTGCATGCATGACCCTTCATGATGGTCTACCGCCTCATCGTAGCGCATGGATGATTGGGTGTTGTATTGCAGTACGCGAAGGTTTATTCTCCAGCAGAGTTTCCCAAGCTGAGAAGGAGTTTCCGGCTCCTCGGATGCCCAGCTAAGAGTAGGCCATACCAGAAGTCCCACCGTCTGACTGATTCAATTGCTAGGCGTAGGTTTCCCTGATACGCATAGGTCAACTGCCTGTGATGAAATCTTGGCAGACCCTGCCAAGTTTGGGGAAAAATGCTATCGCTTGTGAAGCATAAATGAGAAGAAGCCCTGCACACTGGATCACATGTACGGTGTCGGATGTCATCAAGATCAGTGTCAGGTTCACAGGACGCCATGGATTTCAGACCAAAAGGCTACGTCCA